TCTAGCAGGATGTTGAAATCCATCACGAAGTTCTTGTGGATCCTCAGCAAGGGCACATGATTTATGATAAAGATCTTCCATACTAGGACTAGCCATCAGCATCACCTGTTACAGAATCAGTTAATCCAGCCTTGTTAAGACATGCTACAACAACTGAACAATACCCAGATCTCTTCAACACTTAACCCCCCTGAGTATTCTCATTGAAGACAATAGTTTTTCCAGGGCTGGGCCCTGAAGTAGGAAGCCAGAATGAACCTACTTTCTCTAATTTATTCTAATGACCTTTCAGACACCCAAACCAACACTGAATCAATCTAGTACTAAGTTGTCAGCACTTATGCATATGCTAGCATATTTACTGTATATACAAAACTTCTAAGTTACTATGACATGTAATTAAGCACTCTACGTTTTCAAGTTACCTTTTTAAACAGTTTACTGAACACCTTCACACACTGTAGCCATTTATACTCAATGCCCTACATGGCAAAGGGCACTGAGCGCATTACTGATTTCAGTCAGAGACCTGTTTCTGAATACTGCCATAAAAGCTGTGTTGTCACATTTTGAAACAACCTGGCCTACAGTAGTAATAAACTTTTCTTTTTTCAGCCACTATTTGGTGTGGTTTTAACAAACTTATTTCCTACACCAATCTTAATTATGGCAAAACACATGTTATTCCATCATTAAAATTGAAGCACTATTTCCACTATACAGGCAGTCCCCGGGTTACATGGATCCGACTTACATCGGATCCCTACTTACAAACGGGGTGAGGCAACCCCACACTAGCTGCTTCCCCCCAGCAGACCAGGGAGACGCGAAGCTAGCGTCCTCCCCAGCAGACCAGGGAGACGCGGAGCAGCTTTTCTCAGCAGACACCTCAGCTTGAGAATAAAGGACTGAGGGAAGTGAGGTGTGGGAGAATAAAACTGAGCTCTGGAGAAATGTTTGGCTAGAGTTTCCTCTACAGTATGTACCAGTTCCAACTTGCATACAAATTCAACTTAAGAACAAACCTACAGTCCCTATCTTGTACATAACCCGGGGACTGCCTGTATTCCGACTCTGGGCCCCTTACTTCACTAGAACCAAATGAAATTTTAGCCAGATCTTACATAGGTGTAGAATTTTTCTGGAAGTTTAAGGCAAATTAGACAAAGCTTTTCAGAAACATAGAAATTAAGAGAGAAAGGATTGTATTTTAAAAAGTTTATACATAGTATCTCTAGAAAGAACTGTATACTAGGATGGACATTTGGCATGGTGGAAGGGGAAAGGAAGCAGATGCGAGGTGCAATCTATTTTGGGGACAAGAAGAGATATCTCAAAATAAGCAGACCACAACCACCAAGACATTATTAAGCAATCTAACAAAACTTAAGAAATTGCGGCAAAAAGCACAATTAAGTTATAAGTTTATAACTAGTTATTTATCCTTTGAGAATGCATTAGTTCTCTCAAATCTTCCAGATTTTCAAATGTTTTAATAGTCAAAGTTAAGTTTATACTTAAACACACCAAACAAATACACAAATAAGGAAAAACACAACTAAGGCCATTAAACAGCCTAAACTCCACTCCTTTACCACTACTCAAAGAATACCAGACACCCAGGAAGCCCATCCTAGCCTGTGTATCTTAATTGCTTCAGTGACTCTGGACTCTTTTCTAGAGACTAACCATACTGCAAATTCTCCAGGTGTCTAACCTGTTTTGAGACAATATCCATTTTCTCAAGAGTCTTGCCCTTAAGTAATAGATATGTACAACCTTGATGCCAAGGTATTTTGTCTAGTAACAGATAAATTGCTAGCTGTTTAATTCAAAGATCCCCAAATGCTTTACAACCATTAATCTCTCTATCCCTCTCATTTTATAGATGAGAAATTGTGGTATTAGAGAGGGCTTAAATGATTCAACCAAGGTAACACCATGGCAGAGCTGAAGATTGAATCCCAAAAGAAAACTGCTAAGCCATCAAATTACCATTATCCTAGAGTTATTGATTATTTAAACTTTAAGTATCTGCAGCTCACCTTTAAGTTAGTCTTCTACTCAAACCACAGTCAGTTTATTATACTAAACATAATGAATTAAAATATAGGCAAGACTCCATTCAATCAGAGTGAAAAAATAATTGCTAGAGAAAGTAAATGCAAAGATATGACAAAATAATTAGTATAATGTTACTCCAAGTATATTAACAAGATCCTCTGACACCTTATCTTTTTTGTTTTAAAGCATTTCCACAGAAAAGTTAAACTATAAGGTGTCATACAAACCTTTGCACTGTATAGGTGATCAGCATCTGGTGGATCAAGAATAGCAGTGTTTTTATCTAAAGGATCTACTTCTCTGTGCATTACATAGAAATTGCAGTAGTTCCCCAGTTGAAATGGTCTTGACATAGGGAAAGCATCCACCCATGTAAACTGAGCATCAAAAAAATCACTAGGGATGTACAAGTTTTGATAACGCCGTCTCAATTCCATCATATCACAATTAGGGCTGAAATAGCAAGAAAAAATGTATTTTTAAAAGGTACAGTAATACAGGATCTTAATTTGAAAATAATGACTAAAATGTAAAAAGAGTCACCTCACCTTGAATGATCTCTTAGAATGAGCACTACCTTACACTAAACAATCAGTTCCATCTTGTATTTAGCGGTCTACCTTTTCTAGCCCAGAGGAAGATCTCTGTGTAGCTTGGAAAGCCTGTGTCTCTCACCAACAGAAGTTGGTCCAATAAAATATATTACTTCACTCACCTTGTCTCTCTACTATCCTGGGATTGAAATGGCTACAACATTGCATACAGCTATTGAGAAATATCTACCTGCACTGAGGAATGTGGCAATGCCATATTCTAAAACAAATGCGTGCATACATTAAGATATCTCAATATCAGTACTGTCTTATGGTTTCTACTTTCAAGAAGTTCTAAGTAGAACTAACTTATATTCACTGGAAAAAAAAATTGAGACTCTGCCCACACATTTACTTATGAAGGCTGGAGAAACTTACTAGACAAACCCATAAAAGATCAATTCTACAGGAAGTAGTTGCATGCAATAACTAAGGCAACTGGAGGATGGTCTCATGGAACATCAATCAGGTCTACCTCTAATAGAGTAACTTCAGTTAGTGGAAAAAGATGAAATGTCTTCAAAAATCAAAAACATCCAAGAAAGTTGGGCCTGAGTCACACATGGGGCTAACACAGGCCTGGACATAATACAACCAAGCCACTGGATCCAGCCTGTGGAGGCAGTGGGGAGCTCCAGGCATGCTCCCCGTTTCCTCGCATGTCATGCAGAAATGCGGCTGCCATGCTCCCATTTCTTTTCCAACTGCTTACCCCAAGCTCCCGCACCTCTTCCATTAATACCATAGAAGAGTGCAGCTCTTCTTATAACTGCAAGATCATAACTTGACCACTTTCCAAAATCTTGAATTGGCTCCCCAACAAAAATTATTGTTCACCTCTAACTGCTTTCTAACATCTGTAATTGCTTTCTCTTTGTAGTGTAGAAACAAGCTGTTTATAATGTTCAAATTTAGGATAAGTCCAAGATAGTTTTTTTCATTTGAGCTACCCTAAAGATGTGCATCTTACAATACTGGTATTCATTACAATACAGAAATTAACTTCAACAAAAAACCGATAGCCAACGAACATACCAATCTAATGAAAATTTGGAAAATTGAACTGTGTAACGAGGGACAACACGCCGTGGTCTTCGAGGTGACCTTTCCCTCTCTCGCCGAGGTGATCTCTCTCTGGAGCGTTTTCTCTGGGGTGACCTCTCCCGTGACCTACGTCTCTCTCGTTCTCTTTCCCGACTTAAAAAATGTATAAGAGATGTGAACATTCCTCATTTTAGAAGCAATAACACAGTTTATGAAAACAGGCCTCTCACAAGTCAATTCTACAAAGACACAATGCATTTAAACAATGAGAAGCAATTACATAGAACTTTTCATCTCCAAAACAAATTGATGGTACAGCCTATGAGTAAAGAAAGAATCAAATCCCTGTCAGGGCTAATCTGCTCAATTATACTCAGAAAATTAAACAAAGTTTAATGAACTCCATAAGCGGATCTATCATCAACAACACACCTTCTGTCATCTTTTCTGTTAGGTATAGGATCGCCTCTGTCATTCCTCCCTGAAAATCTGGATGGAGGGTCTAGTCTTCGTGCTGGTTGAGGCTGTGAAACTATACGGACAGGGGGCTGCAATAAACCAGCTAAAAAATAAAAACTATTTTTAGGATTTAAGCACAATTAAGAACCATTGCCTATTCTAAACTGCTATATTACTGAATATTTTTAAACACACTCTAAAATTCACTTGTATACCAATAAGCCAATTGCAAAACAGTGTATTTAACAGTTTGGTGTTTCCAAAACAACATTCTGATGCCTTTCTTCAATGCGTGAGTAGAGGCATATTTATCCGCTACAAGCCAATCATCTTGAAATACCTCTTCTAATTGTGATCCTAAAAGATTAGTGCCTTCTTCTATTAAGGTCCACCTTGCTGCTGCAATCTCAGCATTCCACCCAGGGCACTCCCTATCTGTTGATCCTATGGTGACCCATTTCAGTAAAGGCCTAGATAGGCTCTTCCCTTATTCCCACCTGCCTGTTCCCACATAGGTCCTTAAGAGAAATAGAAGGTACCTTGAAGCAATTTTAAGAAGTCCCACTTTTGCAGTAAATTTGAATGGCTTATTAATACATGATATTACAATATCATCTAAACATTTTTCCTGATAAATGCAATGGATTATTTAGGAAATATCTTCAAATCAGTAAAATATATTCATGTATTGAAGCATATGCTGGGAAAAAACGAATATGTTTCTACTGACTTTTCTTTTGGGTTCTTCTCTGCAAAAAAACAAATGGACAGTTGGATTTCTAGTTGCTTTTATTGAACCTCATCACCCAATAGTTTTGATAAAAAGATAAAAAATTATTTAACTGCAAGATCATAACTTGGGCAAATATTCCTAAATATTGTGTCCTGATGGTACCTACCAGAATATAGGACAGTATTTTATCCAGGAACTGTTCTTCTAAGATAGTGTTATAGGTTTTTCTTTCCTGATATTTAATCACTGGCAACATGTTTATGAAATCAATGCCTTGGTTTCATTGGAGTATTGCTCCTGCTACTTATTAGTCATATATCATCATAACTATATTGATGACATCACAACAATCTTCTTGGTAACTATGATGTTGTAGGATTATTTGCCCAGATTCAGAATAAGTGGATTGTAGCAAATAGATTTTTAAAAAGAGCATAAGCAGTATCCTGAACTGAAAATACAAGTAAGTTTTTCAGAACATTTCAGTGGATCTTTAAGAACTGCACTCCAATTTGTACTTTGAATTGTATGATAGTTAGTAAAAATACATACTATTTTTATATTTTATGAAAGATTCATTTTTAGATTATAAACCAATTTCTAGAGTTCAGAAATTGGAGCAGTCCAGAGAAACTTTCCTTCGCAGATTTTGTTGAGGCACTACAGATGAGTTCCTCATGCCATATGGCTTTCTTCATGTAACTCAACCTGGAATAACAGACTTGCTCTCCAACAATCAACTACATTCAGATCAATTATCTTTGGTTTTGTTACTTCATTCCTGTGATGGAACAGGCTTTAACATTACCCACCCCAACATATCAGGGAGAAAAATAAGTTCCATATTTTGGAGGAATACCTTTTTGTTGAGGCTGTTGTAATAAAGGCTGAGGCTGTGTCTGAAGCAAGGGTGTAATAGAGGCTGCTGATATTTGTGCCTGCAACAGTGATTGCGGCTGTGGCTGTGCCTGAACGCTGAATGCAGTCTGCTGTGCAATGGGCTGAAGTACAGCTGGAGGTGTCTTGAGCAAAGGTTGGGTTTGAGTCTGGTTCTAATGGAAAAACAGAAAATCCACTGTCAACTCACTTAACTAAAAAAAAATACAAGAGCTAGATTGAATAGCTGCACACACCTGGTTTGGAAGTGTTTGAATCCTTTGTGCATTCCATTTGAAAGGCATATTGGGATTATAAGTAGCTTCTACCAAAACTCTATCTCCTACTTGAGGTGTCTTCCCTTTAACAGCACTGCCAAAAAAAAAAAAAAAAAAAGTTGTATTACAAAACAATGTTCAAATTAGCTTTATACTTAAAGATTTAGTTATGAGGGGAACATGAAAATTACTAAGACGACAGAGTCCTGCTTCTGGTTTCAGCAGCTACATGCACTTCAGAAACTAACTAGGAAGACACAGGAGCTGTTTTTATACAGGCAGTCCCCGGGTTACGTACAAGATAGGGACTGTAGGTTTGTTCTTAAGTTGAATCTGTATGTAAGTCGGAACTGGCGTCCAGGTGTCCCCAAGTCAGCTGCTGCTGAAACTGATCAGCGGCTGATTCCAGGAAGCCCCAGGGCAGAGGCTTCCTGTAGTCAGCAACTGGTCAGTTTCAGCAGCGGCTGGCTTTGGGGGGGCCGGGGCACGAGCA